TTCAGTTTATAGATGAATTATCAATTAATTAATATTTTTTTTTTATAATTCAGCAGTTCTGCCTCTTTTTATTTGCAGATTAAACTATATTAAGAAATTTATATTCTCTAATAGTAGCTATACTAATCCACCTATAAAGTGATATACCTACACTTTCGCTAAATATAACTTGCTTCAGTGGACTTCAAGTTTCTCTTTAGGCCCCTAACTTATTAGAGGTTATTCTTTGGTCATAGGCTGGTGCTATACACCATATCCAAATTAACTTTCCTTTTTACAAAATGAAATACAAACACAAATACAAAGGACATGACAAAAATAAAGAAATACTACAGCATCAAGTTCTGGTCTATTTAAACTAATAAAACTAAATAAAACAAATATCAAAACAAAAAAAAAAAACAAAAGAAAAGAAAACAAAAATAGCACTATTAAACCTATACCAGATTATAAAAATTATATAGTATTACAAATAAACTAGACTAAACTCTATACTAGTTATTTATATCTATATCCAAGATGTAAAAATATTAAAAACTATCTGGTCTTGAAGTAGAGCTCCAAGGTCGAAACTTTTAGTACTATCTCAACTAGGTCGGCAGGTTTTTTGTAGTGTTCAAATATTATCACATTATTTGACACTATTCATTCTAAAGTAGACATGTATACATATACATGATTTTTTTTTTTTTGGTATCTGTTACTGTATTGATCTTTTGTTGAAATATACTGTTTTTCTTACTTTTTGGTGAAAATTTCAAAAAGTGCAAAGAGTGGAGTTTGGTAGAGAGTTTCAGTTTGCAGGTATCTTTAAACTTCAATAAAAAATATGTAAAAAACTCGCTTGTTGTCCTCTTTTAGACCAACTATTATCTAACTTCGTCAACAGAAGCAGTGCTTTTATTAAAATTTTTTGTATAAGGGCACCACCTTCTTGCCAGTTATCTTGTATAAGAATGATTTTAACTTGTATGCTGAATATACAAAGAAGTTCAGAGTAAGATGTAAAAGGTTTGACCTCTGTAAAAACCATTATTGTATAGTTGTCTATTCTACTTTTCTCTAACAAGTTTCTGTTTTCATTAGCCATAAGTTAGGTACGAGTAATCATTGAATATTTTAATTAATATTAAAAGGCTAATTTAAAAAATTATTTATAATATATAGTAATTAATTTAAAAGTTTTAAAGATTTTATTAAGGGTAAGCTATACTATATTTGATCTTTAAATAATACAAAAATTATGTTTTTAATATTCAATATATATATATATATATTTTTTATTAACTAGCCTCTTTGGTGTAGAGATTTTTATTCAAGTATACTAAATGGGGAGCTCACAATGGAACTCCAATTATATTAGAGAATATACTAGCTATATATGCAACTTTTGATCGCCTATTTAAGTAGTCTGCATATAGATAACTATATACTATAGATTCTATACTAGCTACCATATCTGTAATCTAACTAGGAAATTACCTATTTAAATCCTCTGTAATGTATATCTCTCTTGTTTCACCAAAATAATTCTGTTAGAAACGTAACAAAAATTAGGTGATTTTTTAGAGAAGAGAAGATTAAAAATTTAAAATTATATATAAAGACCTGATCAAAATATATAATAAGAAGGAGGGAGAGGAGTAAGCTTCTGATAAAAAAAAGTAGGTAATAAATGACACTGCTCTTATATTTGTCAGTCAAGAGTTTTGAATAATTACTATAGTCTTAGGACTAATTTATTCTTGAGGCATCATTGCTAGAGCTTTTTATATCCACAATTTGGGTAATTTAAACTTTTGATAACTTATGCCAAGTCTGAAAACTAGTACTTGTGAGCTGAAGCCGCTACTATTACCTACTTCTGCATTTGTAAAGTTTACTCAAACCCCAGCATCTACTTTACAGACCGTCTACTATTTTTTTAGCTCTCTAAACTCCCAATCCAGATAGCCTGAAAGGGTAAATCTTTTTTCTAAAATATACTAGTAACCTGGTTGGTATAGTGCCTTGCTGAACACCTCAGTCCTATCTGGTTCCTGGTTCTTTAGTTGATATAATACTGTCAAAAGTTTGTGCTATCTCTTTACTCAGAACTTGCCAAGTAGGTTTCTGTATGTTCCAGCCTTCAGATTTACCTGGCTGCTTCACTCAGATTTCATATAACTCATATGTCATATTAAATGTTTTACAACCTCCCAATGCAAACTGGTATAACCAAAGCTACAGATCTGATGATTCATCAGATTACACATAATCTGCTGTAACACATTCTGTAAAATTTGAATTTCATCATCAATGAGATTCAAACTCTTGTTCTGCTACTTGGGGTGTGACAACTTATCAATTTTACTAAGTCACCACACCTACTCAATATATATATATATATATTTTTTTTTTTAATCTTCAAAGGTGAGGCCATCAATATATTTTTTTTAATATATTAATATAATTATTATAATTAACATATCAATAATATAACTTTAAAATTTTTGTCTGTCTTTTCATATGATGTATAATTACTAATATAATTAGGGATATTATTAAATATAATAATACTTCAGACTTACTGTATATCAATTCTCAATTCCTAGTATATAAATTAAAATTAATGTTGGCAAATAAAACAATAGAACAAAAGCTCAATTTTTTGTCTTAATATAAAAAAAATTTTTTTATTAATAAGTTGCAATTATTTAAACATATATTGTTAGAACATTAGTAAAGTAATGAATCTAAAATATTTTTATATTTAATTAGTAAAGTTTAATATTTAAAATTTACAATAGAAAAATAAAAAAAATGAATAGAATTAGAAGCCAATAAAAAAAACATATAAACGTAACAACCCTAATTAAAATATATTTTAATTTTAATTTTAGTTAATCTTAATTTAAATAATTAGAATATTTAAATTAAAATTAAATATAGCTATTTGAGTATAGTTAAGTATATAAATACTAAATATTGACCAAAGAGATTAAGTTTTTAATAAATTAAAAATCTTGAAAAAACCAAGTTTTATTGAAGCTAATCATATCTAAACATAAGCTAAATAAACCTCTTTGAATTGGTGTTTAATAAAAATTATAAATGAAGTTATTATAATTTGTTAAATAGTCTGAATATCTAAATAAAAAAAAAAACAGAATTGCCAAATTAAAAAAAAAGATTTCAAAAATAATAAATCTATTAGAAAAAAAAAAATTAATAAATATATTTTTCTATAGTTAAACCCAATTTGGATTCAAGTAAACCAAAGCCAGGTTTATTTGAACCCAATCCAGGTTCAAGTAAACCAAAGTCAGGTTTATTGAATCCAACTTGGGTTCAAGAGAACCAAAGCCAGGTTCATTTGAACCCAACCCGAGTTCAAGTAAACCAAAGCCAGGTTCATTTGAGTTTAATAGACCCAAATTAGGTTTATTTAAACCAAATAAAAAATTTAAAACCTAAAATAAAGCCCAGATCTGAGAACTAAAAATCTAAAAAAATCAAAACCTCGCCCCGGAGCATTGCGAGAGCTAGTTAATAAGCTATTTGTAATCTTTACATTTACGAATAGTGCATTTTTTAAATGTTTCGATTGATAAATCATCATCTTATCTAAATAATTCGATTAATAAAATAAAATTAAAGATATGGTAATAGTAGGTGTTTAAAATCAGAAAATCTTATTTTCCGATTTATAATTCAACATAGCAAAATACAGTTGACCTTCATAATTCCTCATATATATCAACTTTAATATAAACTCTCGTTAATATCACTATCAACATGAATATAGGTGATCCAAATAGGTTGATACTAACGAGGGTCAACTGTACTATATATATATATAATTTGAAAGATCCTATTTATTTTGTAAAATACGCAATTTTCTGCTAATTTGAATCATATTGATATTTGCTATGAACTGGACTTGACGACGCTAATTCGTGCTGGATCGAATTACAGTAGATGATTTAAGCTATTTAGGCTTTAGTAATAATATTGGTATTATACCCGGGTTACTCTAGTTATTAAGCATGACTCTATTTGTGACCCGGACTTAAATATAAGTTGGCCAATTAGATGTCATTGGAAGTCACTGGGCATCACTGGAACTTCCATTCCGGTGATAAAAAATCTTCACAGGAATGGTCCAATGACATCCGTTCACTGGAGACTATTATGCATCCAATTCCAGTTAAGTCCATCCCCACTGGAACGTTCCAGTGAACAACATTGATCTAACCAATTGTTCAAACGTTATGCAATAAATTTTTTTTACTTCAGGAATATTATGCCACGTTTTTTTTTTTTTTTTTATTAAAACAATAATACAAAAAATGTTACACGTGCCAATTCTTTTTAAATAATAGATAAATTTTATATGAAAAATATTATCCAATAAAATTAGTGTATAAGACCCGCGAAATATAAAGATACCCACGGGGAACAAGATCTAGATTTACCCCAAATTAACTGGAAATTTTCGAAATGTAGTGAATAAATCAACACAAAATAAAATACTATTATGGTTCAGTGGGAGTTTTCGGATGATAGTTCAAAATTTTGAAATATTATTGGCAGATTTAATTTTGAAATAATGGCCGACTAAGCCGGCTTAGTCGTATCAAAATTATCGACTCGACTATGCCTATAAATGGTTAATCGACTAATTACCATTCTATTGCACAGCAGCCCTTCTTTGAGCAGCTCTCTTCTCAGTTTGTGCCTTAAAACCTGTTTATTATTAATAAGAATGGTTATATCGTTGTATCGTTGTACCAGGAAAAAAAAAAAAAAAAAGAAAAGAAAAACGCGAAATTTTACCTGTCTTTATTGCAGACACGGATCTTGTAGACCCACAACTTTCACATTGTTGGAAAAAAATACGGTTTTCTTTGGTTAAGATCGTGTCTGGTGACTTGCAAGTTTTACATGTAACATATTCAACTACATGAAATCATTATTAGTTTTACTGAAAGATATGTTCGCTAATCAATTAGTAAAATTCAGTCCTTACCTATATACCGACGTAAAACATTCTCTATTTGTTTTTGTACAAAACGGCCTCTAATAACTAGTCTTTGTGAACCGTCAATCGAACCGCTTGTTCCCAACTCAGCAAATAAGAATTGAATGACATGTTCTGGTTGTCTATGCATTCTGTAATTATGAGATGTACAAATTGTATATCAATGTGATTGAACAGTATAGTTTTATCAAGTTATAGTATTTCTTACCTCTTGCAAATATCAGAAATATTCGCGAAAATTGTCTTTTTATTTCCTTCTCTATGGACTGATGGTGGAACAATCGTGTATCTTTTCTTATCACCTGCAAGTTCGGGGTTATTTTGCCGAAGAATTCGGAATACTCGCCCCAAAAGCTAAAACATAATTACAACCCGATTAACATTTCATATTTTTAGATATGAACAAGAAACATTCGTTATACGTACTTCTTGATACGTGTAATCCCGATCTGATTTTAGCCAAGTTTCCTCAACTTTTAATTCTTTTTCTACCTGCTCGCCTTCTGGCACAAATATGTTGTCTTCTTTGTCATCTTCTGCACCACGTGACTCATCTTCATCTACTTCCTTCAATTGCCTTTCGAAATCAGCAAAATCAATTTTTTTCTTCTTTTTTTTCGGTTTAGGTTGTTCTAATTCGGTTGATTCAACAGGGACTTCATCCTCTACTTTTTCTTTCTAAAATAATAAAATAGAAACACATAATCAATTAATATAATAAATATTAAGAAATTTATGAATATAATATTGATGGATAATATATTACGTCTGTAACATCTTTCTTTTTTTTCTTTTTTTTCTTCATATCCGTAAATATTGACATATCATCTTCTTCAACCTTTTCTTCATTCTCATTGGCTTCAACTGGAATTAATTCAGTAGAACATGATATCGTTATTAGGTGACTAATTTTTCCAAAAAAAAACTATTATATTAATCCATTCTACCTGAATTATTTGCATTCTCGGTTGGTTTTTCTTCTTTTGTTTCTACTTGATCATCGAAAACTACTTTAGGTTTTTTTTTTTTCTTTTTCAAACTCGGATCAAACAGAAGCTATATATCGCAGTTTGAATTAGTCAATATTTATTATATAATATATATATATAGATATATGTATATATTGATAAAAACATACGTCTTCCGTCTTCTCCTCGTTTAGGTTTTGTTGATCGTTTTCAACGTCTGACATGATAGCTTAAAAAGAAAAAATCACTTTATGTTTTGAAAAAAATTTCAAACCCTATAAATAATATCCGGGTGAGTCATCGAGTGATTTTTAATGACTCACATTGATTTATCGTGGAAATCAACCAATCAAATTATACAATTTTCAAATCGTAACGGTAATTACTATAACAGATAATAGAAATTGATAAATGTGTTACATATAAAAAAAAAAAAAAAAACTTTTATACGTAATCAAAACAATTACGTATTCAAAACAATTATCTAAGATCCAAAATTATAATTTATTATTCTGGGTGCATTTGTTAAGCTATTTTTTAATCTTTAATTCATGTTACAAGATTTTTTTGTAATAAATGACTCAAAATAAATTGCGGACTACTTGCCGCACCACGTCACAGCAGAAAGTTTATGGGCAAGACTCAACTCAACTACCGCAGAAGTCTTATTGTTATTGTTTAGATCATGCATGTACGTTCGTACGTCGTACGTACGTACTTACGTAACTGCAGTCGCAGTAATGACATTTTTCTCACACGTTCCGCAATGGCCAGTCGTAAAAATGACGCTTTCACATGCTCCATAATTTTGATGGCAATTTGAGTTAGCGAGAATAGAGCAGAAACAACGAGGCGATGGCGAAACCAATAATAATCGGCAGTAAGTCCCGAGTCACCTATCTGTTATTACCAGTGTTGGCAATTGGCCACTGATATTAAATAATTAATTGGATAATTGGACTGGAACAATTGGACCAGCCAATGATATTCAATTGCTAACACGCAACCCAAAAATGTTCGCTACGCTCCGGACACGGGAAAATATTGATTTATTTAGATCAATATAAATCGATATTTTTAAGTCAAATTGTATATTTTTGGTAAAAATTAAGAGGATATTTTTGGCCGGGTGATATAAATTTGCCAAACCAAGATCGTAAAGTAATAATTCCGAAATTCCCCGAGTAGAAAGTCAACGAACGTAAAAGACGAGCAAGGTTGGGTCAAAATTATTAGAGAGCACAATACTGCAATACGATTGGGATATTTTTCCTGGAACACATGATAAAAATTGCCCCGAATGGTTTTTAGGTCAATCCAGTTAAGTTATTGATTTCGGCATGATCGGTACGTATTACAGTATTAGCAGTTGCTTTTTTGCTGTATCCCAACGTCCCAGTGTCCCAAAATGTCCCAAGTTTTTATAATTAATAAGTTAATTTAAAAAATATACAATTATATATTTTTTTAAGTACCGAATATATTTTTAGATTATTTTAATAAAATTTTGAGTAATTTTAATTTATAAAACAAAATGTCCCAACGCATGTCCAACTGTCCCAAACCCATCACTGCGTATTAGTATGTAAATTACGTTTCATACATATATATTACATTGTATATAATTTGATATATATATGTTTTCGCACAAACTAAACACACTACGTAAACATAATATTGAACTTGTCGACATATACAATGTTAAAATTATTTGAAATTTGCGTAATTTTTTACATGTAAGTTTCTGATATGTAATTTTTGCATGTAAATAACGTTGGTTAAAGCTTTCAAAAGTGCTGGCAAAACTTTCATGATGCAGGTGAAATAATCATGTGCCGGTGCACTAGATAACTGTTAATGTAAAAGTTAAGTTCGTATACGTGCATACATACTGTACGATTTTATAATTTTATCCGGCAAACTCTTATGTCGTTATCATTATTCGAATTAAAACTCAGTTAGCAAATCACGACTTGAGAATCATGATCATGCGTCCCTCATTAATATCAACATATTAAAGTTGATATATAGGAGGGAATTTTAATATCATTTAACATATAGAAATTCATTTTATATCCTATGTTGATATTAACGGGGTTGATATTAATGATAGGGATTGGAACCGCCTAAAATTTTTCTTAATATTAATCGTTTAATCGTTTAACCGTTTAATTTGGCCGGCATTAAGATAATTCTGGCCCACGACCAACATAATCCTGCCCGGAATTATGGAACAATTTTTAAACGGTTAAACGGTTCCAATCCCTAATTAATGGTCTATTATGCCGAATTCACAAATCATTTATCAGGTGTTCCAGAATAGCTGTAACACAAAAAATTTCAGATAATCTAATCAATCCCGTGCATTTCATTCGTTTTTTGAAGTCGCTTTTTTGTCTTTGACAATCAAGTACAGTAAACCAATAACAATATTAAAAAAAAAAAAAAAAGCTTAAACTATAACAATCGGTAGTGAAGAGATCTATGAAAGGTAAGGACTTATTTTGCTATAACAGAAACGGCTTACTAATTTATAGTTCAGTCTTTCATTTTTGATCTTTTTAAATCTTTTCTGGTTTTAACTTTCATTAAGGCTTTGCCAGATTTCGCCCTTTGTCAGTTCCGATTTTAAATTTGGCCTCTCATCGGAGGTGTTTTGAGTTTCGTCAAGGTTCTGTTTCTCGTCTTTCGCCACTTTTAGGTTTTGTCTTTCGCCTCTACACAGAAAATGCTTCGTCTAACAACTACATTACGACCAATAGCGAGATGCTGAATTCTAGTGTTAATTTCAAAAATGAATATGTCGATCGATTGACCCAAGCGATGGTCTGGAAGCCTGCTAATCCCATAACGACTAATAATGGTATTATAAGCTTTATAATTTTTAATTATCCTTTACTATAATATTATTTTTAATACATTGTTAATATTCCATAATGTATACATTTATCTAGTTCCATCTTTTATTAAACAAACCGGGTCTTTGAAACAAATATATCATACTCCTGATAAAACCCTAGATAATCCACCAACACCATATGATCTAACACTTGCATCTCTCTTGTCGGCAGGTCTTCATATAGGTCATTCAAAATCTTTATGGAATCCTAAAACTTCTCCATTCATTTTTGGTATTCGTCACGGTATCAGCATTATAAACCTTGATCATACTTTGATTTACTTGCGTCGTGCATGTAAAGTCACTCGAGAAATAAGTTATCGTGGTGGTATAATTCTATTCATTAACACACGTGGGGGTGGTTTCGCTCTTGCAACAATCAACGCTGCAAAACGTTGCAATCAGTTTCAACTTACAACACGTTGGTTACCTGGTACCATAACTAATTCACAACAAATTCTGGGTCATTTAATGCCAAAAGAACCTAATGAAATATTACCAAAAGTTTTTAAACCAGACTTAATAATTTTATTAAATCCATTGGAAAATACCATTGTATTGGAAGAAGCAAAGCATGGTAATGTGCCCACAATTGGAATTATAGATACTGATTTTGATCCTCAGAAAGTTAGTTGGCCTATACCTGCTAATGACGATTCGGTGAGAGGTGTGGAATTAATTGCCGGTGTTCTAAGTATGGCTGCTAGGGATGGTCTTATACATAGACGAAAAATTATGGAAAAAATTGAATCACAGAGGATTAAAACTAGATCTACTATCGTAAAAGTTTCATCAAAAACAATTTAAAAATATTTATAATTTGCGATCACACTTATCACTTATTTCATGCATTTAAAACTTATTATAAATAGCAATTTGACAAAGTACGTGAATTAGAGATATAGGGTTAGGACTAGAGTTAAAAGCCATAGGAATAAATAATCTCTCTCTATATCAGTTATGGTTGTCCAAAAACCCAACTGGACTTTGGATTGTTTTGGACTAGTCCAATTAGTTTTAAACTGTTCAATATTTCTATGAAAATTAATACAAAACAACAGAAAATTGATTTTATGGTTGTTAAGTCAGATTATATAATTAAATCATGTGATTATACATGTTACTTGTTCAAAATGTCCAAAATTAAAATTTGGTTTTGGTCAAGGTTTTGTCCAATTGCCAAAACTTGTTTATTTGTCCATAGGGTTCCGCATGGGCCGGTATTTCAAAATCCAGATCCAACCCATATTTAATTGTACAATCCCATGGATTCAAATAGCACAAACTTTAAATAGCTTAATTTTAAATTAAGTTTGGGTTCATTATATGATCAGGAAAACAATGACATCTATAATTTTGGCCAATCAGATTCAGTCGGTTATAACCTATTGGCCAACTATAGGTTATGATCTTATAATTTATGACTTATAAAATTTACTATTACATTATAATCACCTTGGTCAGATAAAGTTGAATATGGCCTACAATGGCCAACACTAATCAGATTAACTATGGACTATTCATGGGTTTTTGGATCTGGATTCAATTATCCATGGTCAAAAATTTTGAACTAAGCCCGGCCTATATTGGATCAGTTCATGGATGCACCATGAATAATCCAGCCTATTTGTCCAAATATTATTACTGCTCTAAATATAAAATTTCTTTTTTTTTATGCTTTGTATCCGGTTCGATGATTTTCTATTTAAAACAATCATCTAACCAAAGCTTAGTGAAATTTTTTTTTTAAATTTTATAAACTTGTAAATTCATATAAAATATTTTTTTACTAAATCTGGTTATATAGTTATTGAAATATCTTTAATTAATTTTCTAAAATCCAGTACTGTACCAAATAGCAAATAATAGTTAATCTTTTATACTATATATACTGTATATTTATAAAATATATACAGCAGGGATGGTAAATAACCTGGTCATTTGATCAAAATTTAAATAACTCAAGTCATCAAATAATGACCAGGTCATTTGGGTCATTTGCATATAAAACAATTTTATTGGTTGAATTACTTATAAAAAAGTTATTACTTTCTAATCGATAATATAGTAAAATCAAAATTTAATATAAAATGTCGGTATATCTCACTATATTGACATTTTGAATTTAAATTAAAATGTTATTAAGTCAATTAATATTTATGCCTTAAGTAAAGCTGTTCGAAATAATAAATTTCGTGAATTTTGAAAATTTCATTACCTTTTATTAATTCACTTTCGCATATTACGTTTATATGAAAAATTTTAAAATCTTTTTATATAAACATGTGGAAGTGAATTAATAAAAAGTTATTGAATTTACAAAAATTTCTTTTTTTTTTTTTTTGGTGTTAAGGTGGGATCTTGCCCATGACTTTATTTATTAATAATATTTTACATGTATCATCACATTTCCGGTATTACATATATCAAGTATATCAAGCTTAGACCCGGATCCTATTGGTAATCTACGCTCTGGCCGAAACCATTACTTGTACAATAGGTGTTCCCATCCACTACTAGCCACCAATCCAATTATCTGCGATCCAAACCTACCAGAGTGGCCATCATCATCAACACACTTACCTGGTATTTTACCATCCTTCACAAGTCCTATTTTGGTACACTTCTCTATGACGTCATTCTTTTTTTTTTTTTTTTTTTTTTTTTTTTACTTCAGCAATCCTTCCTTTATTTTATAAATCAGAAACAGATTACAATTATATATTTTCAGTTAGCTAGATCTATATTATCTACTATAAACTGGTTTAAGCCTGTTCAAATAAAGAATTTCTTGATTTGTCTCATTATTACAACATAATCTTAGCGAACCAAGATTAAGCACTAAGTATGATCCAGGAGTGACCCACCTAAATAAATATTTTTCTCTACCAGGATCCTCAATTTTCTGAAAATTTGAACCCTAGTATCAACAGATGGTTTTCACCACTCTTGTCAGAATCACCACTCTATAATAGAGTACTGCCAATCTGATGTCACTTTCTCATAGAGAAGTAAAAAAGAAAAAAAGTGTAAGTGTATAACAGTCATCTGATTTGTTACATCTAAATTTTTTATATATAAACTTATAGCAAAAACATATAAAATTATATATAAACTTTGTTGTAATGATGTTTCTTCCTTTACATATTAACTTTAAATTAAATTTTATAAATAAATATATCAAGATGAGGAAAATAAAATGCTTTTGAAGCAGAATTAAAATTTTGCAATTTTTGTACAATTTAAAAATGTAATTCGTTAAAATAAAATTTATCAATTTTAAAGTAATAAATATATTTAAAATTATATTCTGAACAACTTTCAGTTAGGAATTAAAAAGGTTATACAGTATTAGTAAAAAAAAAGTGTTTTCTATATACTAAGGCCATACAAACTTAATTAATTGGTTTTCATAACCCAGCCGGGTCAAAATTTGAAAATTTGTAAAAAAAATTTTTGTTGTTTTAAATAACCGGGTGGGTATTTTAAAAAATTTTTAAAAAAATTTTATAAATTTTTATATATGAAATTTAAAAAAAAAAGCCGGCCGGCCGGGTCTGTTTAAAAGTTTCATGTTATGAAAACTAATATATTAAATTTGTGTAGCCTAATATTAAAATTTTTAGTTTTTCTATATAAATTTTTATTTTTGCTTAGATAACCTGTTCTGACCTCCTAAGTAAATTTGTTTAGCACACAATTCTACGTATTTATATATTGTCAATTTTGTTTTTTTAAACATTTTACTTTTTTTTTTTTGTAATCAAGGTTAGCCTCTTTGGCTTTTTGCTTTTATTAGATTGTAAAATTATATAGTGCTCTTATCAAAGGGGCCTCAGACAAGTACATTATGACGAGGATATATTCTAGCTATACTTGTGCCTTTTGAGCACTTAATTTAAGTAGTCTGCCTATTACTAGGTTCTATACTAAATGCAGTACCTGTAACCCACTATTATTTAGATTACCCAATTAAACTCTCTGATCTGAGTTTTCTATACCAATCCATCTAATCTTATCCGGAACATGCAATACTTTAGTCAGTCCAAGTTCCAGGATCATTGTAAGCATCTATAGGACTACCAGCTTGGTTAACCAATTCATCCTCAAGGTCATCACCTACTAGAGCAGTCTGGTATCTACTATTATCATATTATCTAGTCTTTTCTAGATAAATCTTGCTGGATAGGTTTTATATCTTTACGGGCAGACCACATTGCTAATTCTTTTCACAGATAAGTTCACCAGATAGGTTCTAAGCCTTTATGGGCAGGCTACACTGCCAAACCCTCTGGCCCTTGCAAAGTTCATCCAAACTCTAGTACTCTTCCTTCAAGACAACCTGGTAACTTTCTTTTTAGTACTTTCTAGCCAGTTTCCCCAGACTACTAATCCAGATGGCCTAGAAGGAATACCAGTCCTATATTATCTACCAATCTTTTTCCTCTGATCAATGCTCAAGTTGGTGGCCTGGTTGGTAAAATAACTTGCCAGATGTTCTTGCCATATTCAGTTCTTCAGCCTCAGATGAAGCCTATTTCAGTAGCTACTGTCGAAAGTCTGTACTACATCTCTACTCAAGTCTTGCCAAGCAGGCATCCATCTTTCTGGTTCCTTGGGTTTATATGAGCACGAGGTCTTATCTTGGATTTGCATCAACTAATACCAGCTTGCATGCCTTCATGTAACTTATACGTTGTATGAATGCCTCATGTTCTCCCAATCTTGTTGGTGCAACTAAGGTTGCAGAGATCTTATTTCAACTAATCGTCGAAAGACAGTAGCCGTCGTACAAGCAAAATATTTGAAATTTCACTGTCAGTGTGTTTCAAATCCCACCTGCCAACTTGCCGCTTGGGAGTGCAACAACTTAACCACTTTACTAAATCGCTATATCCTATTTTAAACATTTTACTAAGTGAAAGATTGGATCAAATGTTATATAAAAAAATTTTAAAAAAAAAATTTTTTAATATTTTTTTTGTGTAACTTTTGATCCAATCTTTTACTTAGTAAAATATTAAAAAAAAACAAATCAGCAAGACACAAAGTATGTAGAATTGTGTGCTAAACAAATTTGCTTAAGAGGTCAGAACAGGTTATCTAAGCAGAAAAAAAAGTTTAATATAGAAAAACTAAAAATTTTAACATTAGTATATAGAAACTTTTTTTTACTAAGATAACCTTTTTTGATTTCTAACTAAAAGTTGTTCAAAATATAATTTTACATATATTTATTACTTTAAAACTATTAAATTTTTTCTTTTAACTGAGTTATATTTTTAAATTATACAAAAAATTGCAAAATTTTAATTTAGCTTTGAAAGCATTTTATTCTTCTCTTCTTAATATATTTATTCGTAAAATTTAATTTAAAGTTAATATATAAGAGAAGAAACATCTTCGCAACAAAGTTTATATATAATTCTATATGTTTTTGCTATAATTTATATAAAAAACACTGTATATATAAATTTTGTACCAAATCAGATGACTGATATAAAACCTAAGTGAAGCATCTGTATAAAACTAATAGATTAAATAATATAAAAATTCACTTAGCAAAATCAAATAAAAAAGTAATACAGATCTTTGATGATACTACTAAAAATTATTATCTAAGGAATTAGAAAACTAAATAGAACTAAAGTGTTTGACAAACACTTTACTAACTAGGCTATCAGAGAAAACTAGAGAAAAAAAATTTAACTGTGAAAACCAAAAGCAAATTACAGCTCTTCTATACTATTTGCATTAAAAGTTTAGAATAATTTTGAATATAATAAATATTTTATAAAGTGTATACT